TTCAGCTCGGGAGTCCGGCGGCGACACGAGATCGATTCGGAGCGACCCGCAAGGCATGGCACCCACGGCGCCCCCGACGGGACCAGGATTTGTTGTTTTGCGCGTTGCAGATTTGTTGTGTTGTAGTTTGTTTTGCTCCCCAGCTATGCTGTTCTAGCTTCAGCTTGGTGTTCCGCGGGGGAGACGAGATCGCTTCGGACAAGTCCAAGATCGTATGAAGCCCGCGGCGCCCCCGACGGGACCAGAAAGAATTTGGAATTGTATTCCTGTTATTGTTTTTGTTTTTCTGTGTGGAATGTGTTTCTGCGTTGCGGTGCTTACTGCTCTGGCTCCCAGCTTCCGCGGAGGACTCGGGCAGTGGAAGGAGCGCGTTCTGTGGACGCTGGGAAGGGGGGAAGGAGGGGGGCGGGGCCCGAACGGGAGTACCCCCCCTTCTGAGATGCAGGGAGAAGGGTTACCAGCCTCGAACGTATCCCTATCCCTAAGACTGACACGCCAAAAGGCGACAACAATCTTAGGGATTCGCCCTCAAAAAATAAGGGAATCCCTGAGATTGGCATCGTGATGAGGAGGTGCCCAGCATAGGGATAGGGATATGTTCCGGGCTGGTTAGAGGGGGTTCGAACCGGGAGGCGTCCCCCCCGCCCTTCAAAAAGAAGGGAGCGGCCAACCCAAGGGGGGGGGTGGGAGGCCCCGCTTCGAGATGCCAGGCGGGGGGGCTCGGACCGGGGGTAGACCCCCGCCCTTCTGCCCAGGGGGGGAGGCTCGGACCGCCCCCCCCCTCCGAGTTGCAGGCCGCCGGGAGGGGGGGGGGGTTCGAACGAAGGGGAGGGGTGGGCCTGGTCTGCCCCTCCTCGCTTCCCGCTGGGCCCTCCTCCCGCACACTCTCACCGGTATCTTCTCATCTTCGGCCGCGTTCGACCTCAGTGGGGTGATTTCCGATGGCGTCACCTGGAGAAGGGAACACCCGTCATCACCAGGCTAGGTTGGAGCATCGGCTGCAAATACCCAGCTCACCCCCGCTCTGTTTCCAGGTATCCGTTGTCATCCTACTGATCTTGCTCATGGTCCGGCGCCTCCTCCTCCTCCTCCTCCTCCTCCTCCTCCTTCTCCTTCTCCTTCTCTTCCTCCTCCTCCTCCTCCTCCTCCTCCTCCGCATACTCTCCTCTTATCCGCTCTCCTTTTTCCTCTGCGCATTAACACTTTGTCCTCTCTCTCCTCCCCCTCCCTCATCTTGCGGTCGGGCCGGACGAACTCGGGGGATTGGGAAAGGGGTTGGGGTGGGGTTACGAAAATTTGCTGCATGAAGCTGATTTCGGCTCTCGCGAGGGGCATATTTCCTCGAACATAGCGCTTCGGGCGGCCGGGTAGGCGCGGGAAAACCAGTCTTCTTATTTGTATGTGGAGCTGATTCTCTACCTCCCCCTTTGCTATCTCCCCCTTTCGCCCGACACGAATCTTAGTCCTCCTCCTCCTCCTCCTCCTCCTCCGAGTCCTTCTTCTGCCCTTTCGCCCCCTGCCCGTCTTCCCGTTGCCACCCTCGCCCTTCTCCGCCGCTCTCCGACTCGTCTTCCGCCACCATGCTTGCCCATTCGCATGCCTACCTGCCCTTTCTCCTTCTCCACTGGGCCCTCCCCTCGTATCACGCGGTGCCCTCGCGCACCTTCCTCACCCCACTACGCCTTCGCCCAAACTCAACTACTTCTCTCCCCCTCTCACGCCTCATCCGCCCTCTCCCCCTCCCTCCCTCCTCCCTCCCTCCTCCCTCCTCCCTCCTCCCTCCTTCCTCCCTCCCTCCTCCCTCCCTCCCTCCCTCCCTCCCTCCCTGCACCGAGCCTGCCGCCTCTCCCGCGTGCGCCTCCGCCGCGCGGGCTGCCCATGGAGGCCCTCCACTCCCCGATTCGCTCACGGCGACCGCGGGGCCCCCCGCAGCCGTTTGGCGCAGAGGGCCGCCGCGGGCGCGGCGCGCGCGCGCGCGCCGCGCGGCGCGCGCAGAGTCGAGGCGTTGACCGAAGGAACCCTACATTTACAAGCCTGGAACATATCCCTATCCCTATGCTGGGCACCTCCTCATCACGATGCCAATTTCAGGGATTGCCTTATTTTTTGAGGGCGAATCCCTAAGATTGTCTTCGCCTTTTGGCGTGTCAATCTTAGGGATAGGGATACGTTCGAGGCTGGTGATAAATAAAGAACGAGTTTTTTTGCTCCAGAAATTAAACTTCGATTGCCCATCGAAAACTCGAGGGAAACCAAAAAGGCACACTGCACAACAGTCCGGGAACGCCGGGCCCCTCCCCAACGAAGAGGACTCCTTCTGCAGCGCCCCGGCTGCAGCCATCGGGCGACCGCGAGGCGCCTCCAGCCGCACGCGCGGCGCCGAGGGCCGGCTCCGGCGCGCGCGCCCGCTGCACCTCGGCTCCCGCGCGCGCTCGAAGTCTCTGCGCGCCCGCGGCGGTGCCCGGCGGGCGCGTGGCCCCCGCCGCGGGCGTCGATGGACTGGCCGCTGAGCCGCCGGGAGGCGCAGCGGTGCGCCCTGCTGTACTACCAGCGGGAGATGGGCGGCGCGCGCGGGTGGGGGGAGCTTTCGGCCGCGAGGTTCGAGGCTTTCGGACGTGTCTCGTCACCACCCACCAAACCACCCCAACCCAACCCGAAGGCTCAGATTTACCCTCGATTTCCCGAGGGGGGGGGGGTCGGGAAACATCGAAAAAACACATGTGGAACCCTTACCCCCCCCCAACCCGAAATTCGGGTCTTCGGGTTGGGTTGGGAGTGGTCTGGTAGGTAGTCTTTTCGTCGGGTTTTCGTCCCTTTCCATGCCCGAGTAGGCGCTTCCGGCGGCGGCTGCCTCGGCGAAAGCGTCCCGGGGGGTGCAGGGATCGTCCACGCGGAGCGGCCGCTTGGAGCCCCCCGAGTTTGCAAAATAGCAGATTTCGGCGGCGAGGGCGCCGGCCCGTGGGGGAGGAGGTATTGGAGAGGAGGAGGAGGAAGGCGGGGAGGTGGAGGTGGGGGAGGGGAGGAGGAGGAGGAGGAGGACGAGGACGAGGACGAGGACGAGGACGAGGACGAGGACGAGGAGGACGAGGACGAGGACGAGGAGGACGAGGAGGACGAGGGGGAGGGGGAGGAGGAGGACCAGCACGCATCCTGAAAAGGGGTTCTGCCGTCTAGGGTCTAGGCTGCAATCGCGCGGCGGCGCGGAGGCGCGGGGCGCGCCTAGAAGATCTGGTTGGCGAGATCGGGCCGCGCGCAAGGGGGTTCCTCTCCCTCCCGCGCACGATCCCCGCTCCAGCCCTACCTACCCTCCTCCCTCTCCTGCTCCTGCTGCCCCTGGGCTAAATCTGCCAGGAGCTGGGCCAGGGGGATGAAGGGGCGAAGCTGCACCCTGAGCTTTTTGAGGTGCCTTCCTTGACAAAGCTCATTCCATACATACTTGGATCCACGCTTCTGAACGTCCGAAAAGTGCCTGGGACAAAAGCTGCACTGATTACGTGGATTCGAGACCGCATAAGCTCCACAAGTCCGACAAGCAATAATGAAGCTCTCGCCTGTTTCAAAATCGGCCACCACCAGCGTGTGGCCGTGACTGTCAGCAGCGAGGGTTTTAAGAGGGGAGTTGCCAGTGCACTTCTCGTTGAGCCTGGCTTCTTTCCTCGCCTCAGAAAGCGCCCTCGTCTTGCACAGCTTGCAAACCCATCCCTCCAGGCTCCAAGTCCAATCATGCACCAAACGACTCCCTGACACCACAGGGGGGGCGGGGAGGAGGGTGCACAAGATTGGAGCCAGGGGAGGACGCATTCCGAACGGGGAATTATTCAGTTTATTAGGTTTGGCCAATGCTTTGCCCCCAGGCTTGGAAGCAACAGGAGACAACTTCTGCAAGACCTTTACAGCATGGTGTAGAAATCGCTGCAACAACTTGAAACGCGATTATGTCTGTTGACTGTCGGCAGGGGAGGGCTGCAACAGCTCGTTGGCCGCCCACTTCGCCCACCGATCGGCCTCGGCGTTTCCAGAAGCATGCCGCCATTCCTCTGTGTGTGGGGCTCTAACTCGGAGAGCTTCTGATGCAACTTGACTTGAGTCAGGTCGATGTCCCGGCTCCAGCCGGCACAACCTTTATTGAGCAACTTGAGGCCGTAATAAAAACCTTTAAGGGACAGACCTGGGGCATGCAGCCTGCATGTGCCAGTGTAGTCGGCAATCAAGGCCGAGATGTTACTTCCGAATTTGACCGCGGCGTATGCAGCTAAGAATTCTGCCGCGGGTGAGATCCGAGTCAAAGCTTTACCAACAGGGCCCGCTAACGCAGCTATGGCTTCACCCGTGGCAGGGTCAATGACTACAACAGCCCATCCCAGATGGTCCGCCTTTTTTGCAGTTGTGATCGTTTCTTTATTCCTTGTTTTGCCGATCGGCGCGGGCCCCAAAACCCCCCTCCCATCCCCCTCCGGAGTGGATCTTGGCTGTTTGTGTTGGCGCCTGTTTCGAGCGGGCGGAGTCCCCCCCAGAGGCAGCATTCTTGCAAACAGTCGCACTAAGCAGAGGTCTGGAGCCAGACACCCCCCCTCCCCTCCTTCCGCCCAATGTAGAAACGCCGAATAAACAGACGCACAAATTACTTGCTATGAATGCTACTCGCCTCTTTCCCCTGACTCTGCGCAGAAGATTTATGGCCCTCTTCGCGCATTGATTTCAATCAGATCTTGTAATTTGAGTATTAGTTCGCATGCAGTTTACCTGATCCTCTGTAGTTTCCCGGATTTCGGACGATGTGTTTGTCTTACTCGTTTCGTTATCCGAGTGTCGTCTGTGCTTCAAAATGGTGTTCCCGCTGCAGCAGGGGCCTCATTTTCGTATCGGCGCTTTGCTGTCGTCGTTCACAATGGCGCTCTCGCCCCAGCGCGGGCCACCTTCCTGGATCGTTGTCGCCCCCTCATTTCCCCTCCTCTGCCTTCCCCTGGTCCTCCTGCTCATCCCGCTCCTTCCACTCCAGC